AAAGGTTGTTAGAATGGTATGGCATAGATTTGCCTGATAGAAGCTGGTCTCATTTTCTTTTTTTTTTTAATTTTATTACAAATTTCGAATTCTCACGCGCCACCTTTCATTAGGCATTATTTCTTAAAAAAATCTGTTTCGTGGCATAATTGTTAATTAACATATTATGGATTTCTATGTTTTCAAAGCATGTGCAGAATTTTTGATCGTAGGGAGTCTCCTTGCTTTTTTTATAACAGCTAATTGGTTACAAGTTTTTTTTTTTTTTTTAATCTCATGTATTTCCATCATCATTTTCTACCCAAAAATGTCTTTCCAGCATCATAGAATCCTTGACCTTATTGTTAAAATAAATTTTTATTATGATAAAGGCTTGACATTTTTGAAAAGTTATTACTTGTTTGCCTTTTCAGCCTCTGATTTGCTTAAATATGTTTCCATGTTTCAAGAAGCACTCTATTTGTCTAAAAAGTATTATTTTTTGGCTGTGTTTGGTTTTACAGAAAATAAAAAATAAACAGAAAATTGAGATAACTTATTGAGAAATAATCTCTCACAAATTTTGTTATGAACTTTTTTTTTTTTTGTTTCTCTTACCTTTGGTTGTTAAGAAAATGAATAATCTCATAAATTTGGATGCTAAGAACTTTCTCTCACTTTCCTGTTTCTCTTATTTTTTATCAAATCAAAGTCTTAGTACCACCATTATGATTATATTGGGAGCAAGTTAAAGAGGTCAAGCTCGCCAAAGAAGGAATAATACGTATAACCCTAAAGTCAATTGAAGAGGGTTGATGTTTTTAATTAATTGAAAATTGCATCTTAAAATATACAAACTTAAATCTTTTATTATAAGTAAATTGCATGGGCTATAGGGTAGAAAATTACCAACATGCATTTGGATATTATAGATGTCCTTCAAAAGTCTTTGCTCCTTTGACTGTGACAACACTTTTACTTGAATTCGTCTACGTTCTTTTTTCTTTAATTTTTTAGCAGAGAGAAGAATTCGTCACTCTTTTACTTGAATTCGTCTATTTTTTCCCCCTTCAAAAGCAGAATTCGTCTACGTTGTATCACTTAAATGTTCGCTCAATGAAAAACCGATCTTGAAAGAGTAACTGAGTTGAAAGAGAGGGGAAAAGAGGGGTCACAGATTCACAGCCTTTGACGCCGTATCATAAATAACTGGCCAATAAATTGGAACATAAAACTGAACGCGAATCAAGTGTCATTTATCAAAATTTATGGGTGGGCTTTAATTCATCAAAATTCTTTCCATGTCATATCTTTCCCGTATCCAATTAGATACTTCCTGTCATCTTTGTAATACTAATGTTGAAAGTCTTATCCATGTCTTGTTATCATGTCCATATGCTCAAGTTTGTTGGTCTAAGGCTGACATCAACGTAAATGTGTCGAATTACACCTCTTTTGCTGATTATCTTTTTGAGTTTTTAGCATAAACTGATTATGACAAGTCTGAACGTGCTTGCATGGTTTTGTGAAGCATCTGATCTCAACGTAACTCCAAGCTGTGGAGAAACAATTTTAAGCTGCCTATCATGCTGTTACTGGGAGTTTGCGACTTCTCCATGATTGGAAGCAAGCTCAAATACATAAGCAGTTGGGCATGGTTATTAATCTTAACCACCAAGGTGACGGTAATTGGTGTGCTCCCCCTCCTGGTTCCTTCAAGTGTAATGTTGATGCTGCCTCTTTCACAAGCAGTAACCTCACTCGGTTTGGGATAGTTATAYGTGATGAACTTGGTGCTTTCGTGAAAGGTTGCACGTCCACAGTTACTGGTCTATTCGTTTCGAAAGAAGGGGAAGTAATGGCCCTTATAGCAGCAATTAAATGGGTGACCAGCATGGATATTCAGAATGTGGTATTTGAAACTGATGCCTTAGTAGTATGGAAAGCCCTTCGTGCTCCAGCTTCGGACCTATCCGAATTTGGCTCCCTCGTTCATGAGTGTTCTTCGTTGTTACAGCAAGGTATAAATTTCTCGGTGGCTTGTGTCAAAAGGCAAACTAACACTGTGACCCACAGCTTAGCTAGGACTTCTTATTGTTCCGTTAATCCTTGTATCTGACATGAGCCTCCAGCATTTGTGAAAGACTTACTTGTTTATGATATTTCTGATTGATTAATGCATTGTAGTTTATTCTCAAAAAAAAAAAAGAAAAAGGTCATTGGAGTGAAAAATCGGGCGGGACCGGCTTAAACTTTAGAAATGCATAGAACTACGTTGTTGCTATCGTCACCGTGCCCATGTGGGAGTGATTTCATTAAGGCTGCGTTTCTTTGCAGTGTAAATATGGACCAGTATAATTACATACTCTGATCCAATTTGTGGTGTTTGGATAGAGCATAGTTAAATATTGAAAATCGATGTAAAATTTTATTGACATTGAGTTTATATCGATGATAATCGACGAAAATACAACTTAGATAAAATGATGTAAATATTTAAATCGATAATCCTACTTTCTATTTACAATGGTCCATAACTTTAAACCAGTCGGTGTACAATTCCATTATTTTTACACCACATTCAGGTTTAGGTAATTCATATTTGCGCCCCATAGTACATCTCAACCATATATTGGAAACATCTCCCAATGATAAGTATGAGATATGTTCTCAATATATGTTCCCAATATACGTTGAGATGTGCATGTGGGCCGGGTGCTAATGTGAACTCTCATTTAGGGGTGTCAATTAGACCAGATTTGGTTCAACTTAAYCCGGTCTAATGTGAATTCATTACAGATGGACCAAGTCCAATCCAATCTGATGAATACTTTAGAGTATTTTGAACCGATCCAGTTCAATGTCTAGACTTCCCAATCTGTTCAAATTGGGTTTAATTTAGATTGGTTCCAATCCACACCCGACGCATTAACACTGTATTCTTATATTCTATTAATGGACTAGATATTGATTCAAATTGACCCAATCTAATATAAATCTATTATGAGTGGACTAGGCCCAGTCCAATCTAATAAATACTTTGGACCATTATATTTGGACTGGTCCAATTCAATATGTCTTATTGGTTCCTCCAATCCGTCCAAATTGATTTTTATTTAGATGCGCCCAATACTGGTCTATTGACACCCCTAATGTCATGCATCAGCTAGGGAATTCATCTGATATGCACAATTGCAAAATGATGTGACTTTAGGGGTGTCAATGGATTAGTTTTGAATTGGACCCTGTCCAAACCAAAATCAATTTGGATAGACCAACAAGACATATTGACTTGGACCAGTCTAGACTTAGTGGTCCAAAGTATTTATTGGATTGGATTGGATCTGGTCCATTCATAAGGAATTTGTATTGGACTCGGTTGAATTGAGCCAATATTTGGTCCATTGATAGAATATAAGAATATAAGTGTCAATAGACCAGGTTTGAATTAGAACTAATCTAAATTAAAACAAATTTGAACAAATTAGACGGTCCAGACATTGAATTGGACCGGTTCAAAATATTCATTGGATTGGATTGGACATGATGAATGGACTCACATTAGACTGGATCGGATTGAACCAAATCTAATCCAATTGACACTCCTAAATCCCTAATTGTGAGGTGGGTGTGACGTGTGAGAAGGAAATTAGTATTTGTTGCAAGGTAAGTTCACCATGCAACTGCATTTGATGAAAAATCTGGAAAACAATATTACACTTATATGAGCAAAAAATTGGCTTTTCAATAAAATTATTTTTAATAACTTATTCAAAATGGCTCGGTCAATGCAGTTCAATCAACTCTTAAACCCTCTCAAACGGGCTCTTTAAAGGATGGGCACCACTACACCGGCTTTGAACTGTTCCAATGTAAAAAGATACCATTCAAAATAAGGAATAGTTTGGTGGAAACAAACCATGTGAAGAAGAAAAGAATAAATCAAATGCAAAATATTTTATTTAGGTTGTATTTGGTTGCAATGCAAATTAATTTATATTAATGTGAAACTGTAGCGTGTAAATTCTGACTTATTTTTATTTTAAATTTTAGGTTATTTTGTTTGGTTACATGTAAGTTAAGACATGAAACAAAATAAAGCAAAACCCAAAACAAAATTAAATGAAAAATTTGCATGTTTCTCATTTGCACTCCCGTACACTTGTAATAGTGCAAATGCACTGCAACCTATCACAGCATTAGGCCTACGGGGAATCACTCAGCCTGGGGCCCGGATGCGCTGTCAATATCTTCGACTCTTCTATACTACAAGAAAATAATAGGGACTTTTCAACCGCTTGATTGACATCCAAGAGGGACCCTTGGTGAAGCCTGATTGGATATCATGTCAGGAGGATTCCAGTCTGTCGTTCGAAATTTAAGAAGACTCTGATCAACCGTTACATGTTGCTTGCTGATATCCAATGGTTGAGTGTTTTGAGCATTGAAACAATGGGACAAGTGGCAAGTTAGGGGGCGGCTCTCAATGAGTTCTGGCTCATAATAAGACTAGGTTGACTTAGAAAAGATCAATCTCAGAAATTTCTGTGGTTGGTTGGCTAAGCTTAGTCAACCATTTTAACGGCCGTGATGAGGGAAATGTGGTGAGAAGCGGCAACCGTCAACCTATCTATAATAGACTTAATCAAATCGTTTTATGTTGCACTGGCTCGAATCGTCTTCCGGAAGGTTTCGCTATTGTATATTGACGGAACCTGGGCAAACGATGTCCACACATGTGCTAGCCACGTGCTCTATTAACGGTCACAAGTCACAACTCACAAAGTCACAATATATCCTAGAAAGTGACGAAGCATGCATGAAGTAATGTAAATATGAAATCGATCTTATCAAAATGCTCCAACGGTAACTTCTGGCGACCTTCACTGACCCGTTATAGCTCGCCAGGTGTCCGTCAGGAAATTTTTCGAAACAAAAAAAATAGGCACAAATAACGCAGTTGACCATTGAATGGCTTAATTCCCTAATTAATTAATACATAAGAGAGAAAGGTTCTAGCTACTACGCTGGTAACACGGACACTGGTTTGACTCTGCTAAGTGCTAAGGGTTTTCCCTTAAATACCTGGCTCCTCGGCGAGCCAGGAAGAAAAAGGAAACAGGAAGAATCATCAATCGAGAAAGAAAATAGAGCAGAAGGAAACGACGAGAAGAATGTCTTGTGCTGTTGCTGTGGCCAGCTCTCCTGTGTTCTCGCCCTCTAGGGTTACTCTTTTCTGCAAGAACCAAGCTTCGTCACCTGAAGCCTTAAATCTGAGCTTGAATCACCATGGACTATCGTCATCGTCATCTGGCTCTCCTTCTTCGTCGTCATCTCCGTCATCGCCTTTCACACTTCGGTTTCAGAAACCACTTAGTGGTTTGAGGGCTTGTAAGGAGGGTCTTATTAGTGTTGATTCGGTTCCCTCTTCTTCTGCTTCTCTTTTGAAACGGAAGAGACCGGCCAAGCTCGATATTCCAGTTTCTTCGTTGAGTTTCTCTGCGGCAACGGCAACGCCGGCTGCGCCCGTGGATGACAGAAAGGAAATTGAGGCTGAAAGAGATGGGTTTTCCGTTTATTGCAAGAAAGGGCGGAGAGCAGCCATGGAGGACAGGTATTCAGCGGTCGTTAATCTTCAAGGAGATGCCAAGCAGGTAGCTTCAAATTATTCTTTTTTTTTTTGAATTTCCCTTCAATATTGTTCTTGCCAGTTTTTTCTGAGTTCTGGGTTATAATCTAATAGATGCATACCTTACGTGGTTTTGGGTTTATATATTCAGGCTTTCTTTGGTGTTTTTGATGGACATGGAGGTACAAAAGCAGCTGTATTTGCAGCAGAAAATATTGATAAGAACATTACAGATGAATTGATGAAGAGGGGAGAAGACAAAATTGAGGACGCAGTGAAACATGGGTACCTGACCACGGACTCTGAATTTCTGAAAGAGGATGTCCACGGTGGGGCTTGTTGCGTGACGGCTTTCATCAGGAAAGGCGATCTGGTTGTGTCTAACGCCGGAGACTGTCGTGCTGTTATGAGCAGAGGAGGAATTGCACAAGCCCTCACATGCGACCACCGACCTAACAGGGAAGATGAAATGGACAGGATTGAATCCCTGGTAAGCCTTTCATCTTTTTTTTTTTATATATCCAAAATTTCTGAAGCCACCAGAATAGCAAAAAAAAAAAAAAAAGAAAAACTTTTTGATTTTTCTCCACAGAAATCTTAAGCTTGCTTAAGATCGGAACTGATTAGTTGTAACAAAATATCTTTTCAGGGTGGTTATGTAGATTGCTGCCATGGTGTTTGGAGATTACAGGGTTCCTTGGCTGTATCAAGAGGAATCGGAGATCGACACCTCAAACAATGGGTCACAGCAGAGCCAGAAACTAAAATTCTAAAAATCAGACCCGAATGCGAGTTCTTAATTCTAGCCTCCGATGGGCTATGGGATAAGGTAACTATACTAAGCTGAACAAATTTCTAACTGTCCATTTCAGAGTTATCAACTAATAGCTTTGACCAACTTCAAATTTCTTACTGTTTTGTTCTTCCTCTTTTTCCAGGTTAGTAATCAGGAAGCTGTAGATGTCATTCGTCCATCGTGCATAGGCACTGATAAGCCAGAGCTTCTGTCTGCATGTAGAAAGCTTGCAGAGTTGTCTGTTAGAAGAGGATCCACTGATGATATTAGTGTGATGGTCATTCCATTGGGGCGTTTTATTTGACGGATTCATTGTCAGGGAAGAGGAAGGGAAAACTTACCAAACAATTAGGTTTTTACAAACCTACACTGCAAGTTTTTTTTTTTTAGAATGAACTTGCAGCGGTAGATTGTACCAGTATGGAGAAGAAATTAACAGGCTCCAATTGATCTGACATATTGTTTAATTATTTTTTGGTTCATAAATAATGAAATTCTTTATTATTGTTATTCTGTCTGTTTTTCATTGGTTTATGTTTACACTTTTAAGTAAGGCCTCGTTTGATTGTGTACAGGGGTGCACTTCCAAATTCCAATCAAAATCGAACACAAATTTACTTAAGCACCCCATGCACATGTGCGGAGAAAATTAAAGGATAATTTATTTTCCTTCTAGTTTTTCATAATATAATTTTTGAAACAAGCTAAAAAGAAAAGGTGAAAAATATGCAAGCCAAAACCCAGTTCAAACGAAGGAGGAATCTCAACCAAAGAGACCGGAAAGACGCCATTAACGATTGCAGGAAACTCTTGCTTTTGCAAGAAATTATTCTGTTTTTCACCATTTCTTCTTCTTTGGATGACATTAATGCAGACCTCATTCTTATTGTTTTCCCCTCCCATCTTTCACACACCTCGCCTCTAGCTCTCAAACCCAACAAGATGACAGAATTTTTGGATCATTCGTTTCATATCCGACCTCATTCTACCTCAATGAATCTTTTCTAGACAAATCCCTATCTGAGACCGGAAAAAATCTACTTTGAGTCATTAAGCTAGACAAAAATTCCATTTCAAAGGTTCTAAAACTGATCAGTGGAATAGGTTGCTTCCAGATCATAAATCATAGAATATCGGCAGACTTTTCAAGCTCTATTTATATATTTAAAAAAATAATTTATTGTAAATGGTTTTCTCCCTTTGTCGAAGCTTAAAAAAAGAAAGAGTTTCCTGCAATCGCTAATGGTATTTGTAGGGTTTTTCTTCAATTTTTTTAGTTTAAAAAATTGTATGTTAAAATGTACCGTTTAGTTTTCTATACATGGTATTAGGGGGGTGCCTACCCGAACCTTGGGCCTTTTTTGTGAACGGAATCGGTAGTACCGGTTTTTAGAAAACTGGTATCTGGAATCGAATCGAAACCAGTCAGTTAACCGTCATTTTGGTTTGTCGGTTTTTTAGTTTTATAATATTTATTATAAAAATATATATTTATATATAATACATATTTATTAATTTATAATATAATATATATATATATAAAATATATAGAAAAACATATATATCGGTTGGTTCGGTTAACCACCGGTTTTTTATATTGGTTAACCAAAACTAAACCAATAGCTTCAGTTTTTTAAAAATACCGAACTGAAATCGAACCGATCGGTTTGATTAATCAATTTTTTAGTTTAGTTTTGATCAGTTTTTTCGATCAATTCACTTTTTTTTTTTTTGCTCACCCCCTATATACTATTGGGGTCCACACATGTGAACTATTATGTGTTTGATTTTGATTGGAAGTACACAGGAAATCGGTCTCCGTTTGATTTGGTAGCTAGTTAATGCATTTCCTCGTGCAAGTGATTTGAGGGAAACATGTTAGATTAACCATGTACTCACGTAGGTTGGTCACGTTGTTGCCAAATAAATGCATTCATTGGGCTGTTAGAGAGCTGAATAGTTTAGAGGCATAAGGTCCTTGATGGGTGGACCTTTTGATTGCCTCAGGAGAGCTGAATCGTTTAGAGGCATCAAGGTCCCTGATCGGTGGACTGACCTTTTGATTGCCTCAAGAACATCTATAAATAGAGACGGTTAGCATTCGGTCAAGTGCTCATCTTGATCTGTTTCCCATTTCCTTGGAGGCTCGTCTGATAAACCGGATTCTGGCGGAGTCAAAGTTTGCAAGTTGGAAAGATGGAATGTATGCTTTTTTCTTCCTTTCGATATTTGAATATATATTTGTTCAACACTGTCTTTAGAGCTGATTTCCATTGATAAATCTTCAAAACATTGCCTGTGTACTAGGCTTTGTTCGTGGTAAATGACTTACCTGAGTAAATATATTTATCTCGGAAAATGTTTCCTAACCCAGTAATTTTTTATTCCCTAATTAAAAGTGTATAATGGCCAATTTGTCTAAAAAAATGTCATTATTGAAGAAATAATATTGTCTTATCATGTATTAGTAATTTTAGTTGCGCATAGGTAGGAGATTGGAAAACAAACATGAGCTTATTTATTTTTTGTGAGACCAACCAATTTATCCACCCATACTTTCTAGAAAACGAATGAGGCCTTAAAAAGACAATGTTTGTCGGGCGATAAATTACCCGAATAGGGTTTTGAGTTTTAGATGGTGGGTAAGTAACTTATCCACACTACGGGTTTGGAGAAATTGTGTTTTGCCCATTATAACGATTGTGTGGGTTTCTGTGGAACTCACCAGTTCATCTTTACCAAAAAACAAACGATACCTAAAGAGTAAGGTGGCGTTTGATAAACCTGAAATGTTAAAAAGATATTAAAAGTGTCTGAAATCTGAAAAGAGACATAGTTGCTTTTTGATTTTTTAGAGGTTCTGAATAAAGAAGGTTGTTTGTATATTGTGTTGGATCAAACCGTCAACATCTAAAAATCATTGATTTTACTATTTTACCCCTAAAACAGACTATTTGGTAATTTTGAGTTCAATTTGCATTATTTCATAAAAAACAATTTATTAAATTCAAAATAATATTGAAAATATGAGTAAATTATAAAAAAAATAATTTATTAAAATAAGAATAAAATTGAAAAGACATATCAATTTATAAATTAAAAATAAATTATTAAGAGTTAAAATAATAATGAAAATAGTAATAAAGACCATAAAGCAATAAAAAATATTTAATAATTATCAAATTAATATCTTAAAACTATTAAAATAATTAATAATTAATACAAATATAATTTATAAAAAATAAAAACATAATTTATTAAAATAAGAATAAAATTGGAAAGAATCATCGCTACTGCTAGGAGTTGTAACGACGGTGGCTAGAAGATAGAGGAGAGAGAAATCGAAGACATGCCACTACTGGGAGTTGTAGCGGCGGTTGTAGGAAGACAGAAGAGAGAGAGAGAGAGAGAGAGAGAGAGAGAGAGAGAGAGAGAGAGAAGATGGTTGATAAAGAAAATTAGATAATACT